ATAAAAAAGTAAAAAAAAATTATACTTTAGAAGTTGATCTAGTATCAAAAACGTTTGATTCAGCATGACACACAGTCCTCAGAAAAACACCACACAAAAGTGCCAATGCTGCCAGCTAAAACACACATATCAACAAAAAAAAAATATTGGAGTAGCCCAGATATAGCCATAGCGCCACAGCACTAGCGAAAATTTAAATTTGCCTACTGGAATTATTTCGGATAACCGACTTTCGGATAAACGACGTTCTACTGTATCACAATATGGTGTTGATATTTGGAAATAAAACAGACCTGCAAAACGCATACATATTGCACATCATACTATAAAAAATTGAAATATGTACGGTAAAAATTATTTTTGTTTTTAAGTATTCCATTCTTATGGAAGCTAATTCAATAGTTACAATAAAGTTCTAAATACCGAAACCACAAAAATAAAAGAAGCAATGATCCATATTTGATTCCATTTATACGCAGTCAATGAAATTAAAATCATGAACTCTAATTTAATTTTAACTTGCATTTTTAAGTATTATTAACTAATGCTAATATAATCAGTTTAAATACATTTGCTCTTTGTTTATAGAAAAATTATTTCCAGGTATATAAATAATTAAGAATTACAGAATGTTTTCTAAAGTTTATTTTACTGTGGACAATATTTTGTAAATTATTTTTATCTTTTAGTCATTCTTTATGACATAGTTACAACTATTTGAATGTATTATAACTATACAATACAATACATTCAAATGATTATAGAATAAATATAATCAAATCTCGATTTAGCGACCATTTAAGTAGTATTATAATCGTACTGCGCGAACGAATTGTACTGAAGTAAATGGATTTTCCTTATAAATATTAAATAGAGAAGCCTTCAATATCTACAAATTACTGTATTTCCAATTTAGCATTACAAAGTAATTATAATCACTAAAACAATCAATTGTCAAACTAAAACGTATGTAAGGTTCACTACTATGCGCAGCTGTTATTGGTTGTACTACCATTTTACACCATACTTGATTTAACGCCACTTTCTGAGATTAATAAATGTTGGCACTAAATCGAAGTTTGGCTAAACTAATAAAAGGAAAATACTGAAGTGTACTCAAAATATAAGAATTAATTATTAGTTAAAAATTATCACATAAATGATACTCTTTTCAAAACATATGAGTTTGTTCGTTTATTTTAAGAGGCCTGCAAGGTACGTTCAAATAATTCTTAGAAACATTTTAAAACTTATTCTCTTAAATCATCTCGACAACCCAATATATTATAAAAAAATAAATGGCACTACGAATTTTCTCAGGTTCACGGTTCGGAAATTTAACAGAATAAAATTCACAATTGGAATTGTACTTTCAGCATTAGTAAAAGAACAAACTTTTCTAGTGAACCCTTCATTGTCAGACGTCATCAGATTGACATTACTCATTTCTGAGAGAAAGAAATCGACAGCGACCAGAACAAGAAGAAAACTAATGACAACCGCCCGATACGTATGCTATTAAAGAAAAGATGAATGAAGTCTCACAAGAACTAGATTAAGCTACTGTAGTTCTTCTCAGATATTATGACATCTTCTTATCTACTCTTACCATTTTTACTGTTTACGTCGAGTGATTTGTTACGATTTTTTTTATTATAAATGATAACAAAACTTGATAAATACATTATTTTCTAAAGAATGGCATTTTAATTAAAAATAAAAAATTTAAATATAAAAAATTTGTTTTAAAAATAAAAATATTATCTTGAGAAAAGTAAACATTTCTCATCTTGTGAAAAATAATTTTTTAGTAATGATGATAACGAATTTTTATATGAATTGTTTCAAATTTTAATAGGATCCTATATAGGCGTGATCGTGATTAACTGGCGGGTAAATTCTGCATAAATTATAGTAGACTCGTTGTTATCCGGGATGCCAAAAATACCTTGAATAATCATTAAATCATCACTAATCGTTTCATGATTCATTGCTTAGCAGAGTATTGGCCATAAATAGGGGAAAGGAACTAATATACTTCGCTAATATACTTCGCTAAAGTATCCAGTTTATTAAGAATAAACGGTTGAGTCAATGACAGCATAAGAAACTTGTTATTTTAAAAATTCTATAACAGAACAGAAAGATTAAATCGGAAAATATTATATTTACTGATGAATTTGTGTGTTTTTATAGCCTTCTTACTGCCAACATTTAGAAATTACAAACTGCAATCGTTTCATCCAAAATGTGCCTTGTTTTGTAAAAATGCAAACTTGTATACCGATAAGTATACAAGTTTGCATTTTATGTATACTTACCGGGCACACGCAATGATAGAAAAACATGTCGGATTTTTTGCTACCTACTAATAGCAGAAATCTGTATAATTCTCTGTTATCGCTATGCAATATTTCCAGAATAGCTTTTATAGAACTTATTAAAGAGGTTTAAATTCGAAATAACCAATTATTGTGAGATTGCTAATAGCTGTACCGTTTACCCTACTAACTTATGTAGTGTGCATTATCTCTTTATGAAAAATTTATTGAATACACGGATTAACCGGGATGATATTTTCTCATTCATCTCAGGTAATAGAGACTACTATATTCCAAAAGAAATATAATAAAATTCGTGGGATGTTTTCTGGAATGTATAAGTATTGACAGATTAATTTTTCCACTTATTTTATGAATTTTTATATTTAACGTTTCTAATAAAAATTTTTAATATTCTTAATCTTATTTAATCTTTATACAAGAAATTGTTTTAATTTAAAAAAACCTTTGCAGAAAATTGTGGTATAGTACAATAAAAGATCGCATCATAACAAAACTGTTACGTAATCTGTAATTACATTTATACATAATTACAATTGATTAAGTGGTAATATCGACTATAATACAGATCATCTCTAGTGACCACTCCATTTCTATCTTATGATTTATTTAGTTAATATGCAATAGTTAAATTTAAAGCTTTTTATATCAAGTACAATGTTGTTCTAACCTTACCACGTATAACATTGATGTTTTTATTTATAATTTACACGATAATCGCGTAAAATAAAAACATGCAAATCAATTCGGTGCATTCTTCCATTTAATTTTAATTATTTATTCGATTTTGATATAAAAGTTGAATTGCTTATTTTTAAATGCGAATTTAATATTTAAAAAGTGAGCCAATTTTAAAATTTTTAAAATTATATTTACGATATTATAATTTATCAAATTCATCTCTTTAAGGAAAATAGAAGATTACAAAGGAATTTAATATCAAAAACTTGAATTGAAAAATAATTTTAAATAATCTATTATGTAAATTATATAATTTGATATTTAATAAATAATAATTTTAACTCTTTTGAAACTTATTTCTATTATATTAGTAAGTTTTAACATATTACTTTAATAAGAAAAATATAAGAAAAAATGAAATGTTTTAAAAAATATTCAGAAATGAAATTACTTCGAGGTTTTTTAAATAAATATTTTAATAATATGTTCCTAAATATATACAATGTATTTTGGAATATTTTATTTCAATAGATTGTTAAAAGTTTAATTTTTCTGAACTGTTTAAACTTTAATATTTATCGTTCGACAGAAAAAGAAGACAGAATAAAAAAACAATATTAGTTACTTTCTGTGTAATTTGTTACAAAATTTATATATATATATATATATATGTATATAATTTCTTAATAAATAAAGTATAAGTTCTTATTTAAATTATATTTAATTCATTTTAAGAATTCGAAGAAAAATAATTATATTTGAATAATCTTAAATTTATGTAAATGGATTTCTGTTTTTCTCTTTCATTATTCATCTTTCCAGTCATGTATTTCCAGAATCACTTATGAAATGTATGTAAATGTACACGTTATATTCTAATTAATAAAGTTATAAAAATTGTAAAATATCTTAAAATTTAATTGATATTTTTATAATAATATTTTTAATTTGTTGAAAAAAGTTAATTTTATAAAAATAGTTATGTCTAATGTTAAATGTTTTAAAGTTTGCCTGAAGGATCTATTTCGTATGCGGATCTATATGCATGCTTGAAATTAATTATTATTGTAACAATAATAATTATATTGTTCCATAAAGAAGTGATATGATATAATTTTTATAATTTGCTATTTTCGTTCCATTTCCTCATTTTATATACATATATATAATAGTAATAAATCAGCAACTTTTAAGAATTATGTCTATAGTAACGGAGTGCACTTAACACGGACAGGATCGTGCCTCTTCAATGAGCCGACCACGTGAAGTTTCCGGGTTTTCTTCACGTTCTAATAACTTAAAGAGGTGCCGTTTCCCCACAGAAAGTCGTCCTGAGAAACATTTCATCTTGACAGATCGCCCACGTGTTGCGTTGCCAAATCTTATTAAATCAACCAACCAATCTTGCAATAATCATTTTTCTTTAAATTTACATCGATTAGAAACGATAAAAAGTTTTATTAAACTGAACTAAAGTTCAACTGTAATTCAGTGTATAAAATTCGAAATAATTAACATCAAACTTAAACTTATAATTACGATTGTTTACAAGTAACCTTGGATACTCGTAATCACGGATAGCGACTATCCGTGCTAATTACTGCATGGAAAACCGGAATACACAGATAATCCAAAATAGCCGTCTATTCAATAATAAAGACTATTCAGAGATTTTAAATGAACTACTACTAAATATATATACGGCTCAACCCCGTTATAACGCGATAAAAGCGAGTCCCAAGTTTTATGAGCTAAAATGTACATTTAGTCAATAGAAGAAATTTACTTTTTATGTTTATTTTAATCAATATCGTGTGAAAATTTAAAGTTAACATTTTCTGTGTTTAATTCTTACATTTTTTCCAGATTACTGTATTTAATTTTAAGACTATCTGTTGTTTAAGCATACAAATGTGATTTATTTTTTAATGTGTATTCTATCAAAAACCTGAATTTTGCTTATGGTACCTCGCTATTTCACAGTAATTCTAATATTTGTCGATACACGGATAATCCTAATAATGGATGATTCACGCACGGAAAATTGGGAGTTCGGTCTATACCTATAAAATTAGATAGGATTAAATGAAAGAAAGAATTTTTAAGAGATTTTCTATTTAAAAAATTTTCTTACAAATTTTTCGGTTTTTAAACATTTAATAAATATGCAATTTTATTTTCTATATTCTTTAATACGTAACCTCTTTTAATGTTAAATTTCCTTTGTTTCCGGCAAATCTAATTTAAGTTAAATTCCTATTTATATATTTGAATTCGAAATCGTTTCGAATCACATCGTTTTTATGAATATAAAATTTAAGTAAATTTTATATCTTGAATTTTATTTACATTTGTTTGTTCGTTATAAATATATTTTCCTAGAAATTATTAAAGAAAAATGTATTTTAAAGTATCACTAACTTTAATAGTTCTAACAATTTTGATTAATATAATATAATTATTTAAAATAATTGAAATTGCCAGTTTCTGTATTTTTTAAAATTGAAATGTCATTTAAATATTACTATAACTTATTTAAAAAATACTTTCATTCATTGAAAAAATGCACATGTTATTGAAGCAAAATTTTAGTGACAAATTAAAAACTAATAGATTAAAAATTAAAACTAATAGATTAAAAACTCATAATCATAAACAAGAAAGTGATCAAATGTTTTATTAGTTAAAATAATAACTAAAGTGCTCGACGGTGTTCACCGTCAATATTTNATATTATATATATATATATATATATATTAAATTTTATATTAACTTAATGATTTAGTGATTTATTCAAATTTCTTGCTTTTGAAGGCTCCAAATTACAGATATCGTGTATATTGACACACTCGAATAATCCTCGAACTTCAGCTTTTTAGGGATGGTATTCTTGACACAGTATTCTTTCAATTGGATGTGATACCAGACCATTATAAAACATTTTTTGGATTATTTCAACACCCACTCTCGATCATTAAATTGGCCTTGGAAGAATTCAATATTGGGCAGCATTTTCACTTGATTTAACATCATCGGATGTTACAGATGTTACCTTTAAATACAACTGAGACCTGACTGAAAACTTTTTATTGCTGAGTTTATTTGACGACGGATCCTACAGAAAAAGGTCAGCATCGAGTATGTTCCTGTACATGTTTTTTAATATTATCTACTCGGTCATTTTAAAGAATTGTTTTGTCTTCGTGTTGTATATCATCTGGTTGGATATAACGATTAAATTGGAAAAACACGATTAAATTGACCCAAAAAATTCTTGTATGGTCATTACTGTTTAATCATCCTTGGTTATTTTTCTGGATATTTATTGATTCTGAGGTGTACCGTAAAAGAGATCTAGCTTATCATCGAAATCGTGTTACTGTAGCTATTCAAAAGATAATACCTGAAATAGTTGAACGTGTGTTCAACAAAACATGATTGCGGAGGCATTGGTAGCGACCTCGTAGAAACTAATCATTAAATTAGGCCTTTAAAGTATGTGTATTTTTATTTATACATATTCGTGTATTAAAGGTGTTTTTATAATTTCTATTATTTCTGAAAATAGGTAGTTACTTTTGAAACACCTATTACTGCTTTTTCTTGTTAAACTTTTACTTTGATCTCCTGTGTCACCTACAAAAATATTTTTCAAAATTTTAAATTAATACTTATATATAAAATAATCCAATCTAAATTATGAGTAAAATTCAATTTCAAGAGAGATTTAACTTGACTCATTTAATATACGTTATAACCATTTCAAAAATTTGGTCATGTGCATTTCAGATAGAAATCATATTGTTGAAAAATTCTGAAATTATCAAATGAAAAAATCAATGTTCAGAAGAAAAAATATACAAAATATTCTACAGAAATAAAATCTAAAGTTGCACATAAATCATATAAATTTTTGACGTTTTAAGTCTATATAAATAGTAGATATTGAATTATAATTCCATACTCTGTTCTTAAACTGGCAAATTCATATTATAATTAATTTTCTAAGCAATTATTTCAGAATACAGTTTCAAATTTTCATATTTACTGGAAAAAAGTAAATATAATTTCGATATAATTAAAAACATAATAAATATATAATTATATATAACCTAACATGACTTTCATGATATAAATTTATAAATACAGTACATGAAACCTGAGTGGGAAATTTCAACAATTATTTTATTTTTAAATTTGAGAGATTTAAAAATATTAAATCATTAATAATTGAAAAACGAAATCCCTAATTGTGAAATAACTTCGCTGTTGTTTATAAAATGAAAGGTATCGTGTAGGGTACGATACATTTCAAATAAAAAGAAAATATTTCTTAAATTTGGAAGTTACTCTAGCTATAAAATTTTCTTTACACTACAACAAAACTAAAATCAAATTTTTTTATATTGCTTATAATATACTCCATAAAAATTCTATAGTGTCATTATCTTTTGTTAAAATTTCAACTACTTTTTTTCTACTTATTGTAACACGTTTTTCAGGCAGCAAACCGAGAATGTTCACTGAACATTGTACTGTATGTGATTTAACACCACTTTATATACGAAGCATCATTATTAAATTTTGTATTATTTATTGAAACGCGATGGCACAACTTAATAACGTTAAAATTTCTATACTAGTGTCGTTATTTTTATAGTTCAATATTATTTTTTTCAATTCTATAGCAATCAGACGTATTAAATTAATTCGATATGGTATTATCTTTATACAGTATTAAATATACAAGTACTTACTCCAAGTTTCTGAATCCATAGTTAATTTATCATCTATCATTTCAACGGTCATATAACTTTTTCTATTTTTAGCCTATGGAATAATAATATAAAATTATTTTTTATTTCAAAATAATGTTACACGAAATTATTAAATTTCTGCTAATTATTGAAGTTATTTATTTTTGAATTAAACTAAATTATAAATTAATAGTCAACTAATCTTGTTTTATATTAATTAAAATGTAGATGACGTTACTATATTATAATATGATAGTGCTCGACGGTGTTCACCGTCAATATTTACAATTTATAATTGATGAATTGATATTCTACATAATCTTTTTCACCTTTTTTGTAGAACAATTCTCACAAAGACAAATATTCCATCAAGTTTTTCTCTTTTTTTATATTTGATAACCTTTATGTCTATAAATCAATATGGCTCCATATAATAATTCGATCAACTTCTCTTAATACCAGAAAAGTTTTTACTGTTGATTCAGTTATTTCCCATTTATATTTATATATAAAATTAAACTATATGCAGAAATACTTGCCAAAGAAAATTAGTTCACGATATGAATCTTCCATGGTCCATTTTTAAGTAGATAATGCTGACAAGTTCAAATATGAGTCATCAAAAGTATGAACTCATTCTTCAGAGTTAAATGTTCACCGCATATAAAACTTAATGGAAAATAGTTTTCCCAGTATTGTGTATATACTTTCTCACTTTAACTTCTCACTGAAGGCTACGTCTGATAAATGTATCGCAATGAAAGAGTTAATGGTTTCCAAAACTTGCTTTCACGTGATCTTTCTCTATGAATTGCATCAAAGGTTTCGTTAATAAAGATATATGACGTTTTATCATATCACGTATTGAATTTGATGTCATCCTCACTGTGATACAATAATCTGATATCCGTAATGTATGGTTTTGTATGCTGAATAATTTCATTTTTGTTTGAAGAAAGGCAATTTCCGAAATTGAGAAATGCATTTCGACTTTCAGTTGTCCGCATTGGTCCTGGTAATTAAGTAATGAGATGGGTTCGAACACGTGACATAATCAACGGAGTGAGTCGATTCATCAAAATACTGAAAATATAAGATNTCGAACTTCAGCTTTTTAGGGATGGTATTCTTGACACAGTATTCTTTCAATTGGATGTGATACCAGACCATTATAAAACATTTTTTGGATTATTTCAACACCCACTCTCGATCATTAAATTGGCCTTGGAAGAATTCAATATTGGGCAGCATTTTCACTTGATTTAACATCATCGGATGTTACAGATGTTACCTTTAAATACAACTGAGACCTGACTGAAAACTTTTTATTGCTGAGTTTATTTGACGACGGATCCTACAGAAAAAGGTCAGCATCGAGTATGTTCCTGTACATGTTTTTTAATATTATCTACTCGGTCATTTTAAAGAATTGTTTTGTCTTCGTGTTGTATATCATCTGGTTGGATATAACGATTAAATTGGAAAAACACGATTAAATTGACCCAAAAAATTCTTGTATGGTCATTACTGTTTAATCATCCTTGGTTATTTTTCTGGATATTTATTGATTCTGAGGTGTACCGTAAAAGAGATCTAGCTTATCATCGAAATCGTGTTACTGTAGCTATTCAAAAGATAATACCTGAAATAGTTGAACGTGTGTTCAACAAAACATGATTGCGGAGGCATTGGTAGCGACCTCGTAGAAACTAATCATTAAATTAGGCCTTTAAAGTATGTGTATTTTTATTTATACATATTCGTGTATTAAAGGTGTTTTTATAATTTCTATTATTTCTGAAAATAGGTAGTTACTTTTGAAACACCATGAATAATTTTAAATTTCTAGGATAGAATTTCTGTCTTTATAGATATTTTATATGAAAATATAAAATTGAAAATTATAAAATATGTTTTTGAAGAAAAAACGAAAAACGTAATATCAACAACCAATCAGATGACGAACTTCCTTTAAATTACGACGTTCCATTCACCCGCGTTCGTTTTCGAACATATTTAACCCGATGATGATAGCTAAAGTTATCAAAGTTTATCATTAAAGGAAACGAAGCAAAACTTTATAATCTCTTTGAATTAGTATTATCTAAACTGAATATTAAAATAAAACATTATTAATCAGATATACTTGTAATTACTACAAAGAAATGATTAAATCATTCTTCAATATCATAATTTAAACGGGATGTAGAGTTTCAAACGTATATTATCCTAATTATTTACTTTTACTATTGACGAAAGTCACATAAGTTCAACTACACTTTCATAATACCATCATACTTCCTCTCTTGGTATCGTTCTATGTATATAACAATACTTACTCAATTGAGATTTTCAAGAGGTACTTCGAATTAACAATATTCACTTAACTATATTTAACCGTGATTGTAACATTATAGTTTGTGCAAAAGAGCGTATTTTATTTCACAACTTTCGATTTTAGTTAGATAAATTGTACATAAATTTATATAAACCGTACTAAAATTGCTATTAAAACAATGTACGTTTTTATATAACGCTTTGTATGAATTTACATAACTAAAATCGAAACTTGTGAGATGAAATACAGCCTTTTGTAGCCTATAACTAAACAGAAACTATAATGTTACAAATCACCGTATTAAACATAATTTAAGTGGAATATTGTTAATTCGAAGTACCTCTTGAAAATCTTAATTGAGAGAGTGTTATATGCATGGAGTAATGTCAAGAGAGGGAGAATGATGACATTATGATAGCGTTGTTGAACTTACGTGACTTTTGTCAATGGTAAAAATAAATAATTAGGATAATATATGTTCGAAATTCTGTATCCCACGTAATTAATGACAATAATTTAAAGTGGTTCTTTTGGTAATTATACATGATTAACCAACTATAAATGTTAAAATGTTATATGAAACAAGTATTATTTCAGTTTAAAATGATTATTATAAACTTATGCTTCGTTCTTCTTTCTTCTTTATTTTTTCTTATAATTTTTTTCTAATTAATATATTTTTTTTCTTTAATACTTGATCGCTTCTTGATCTTTCTAGGTTCATTGGGGAAAAATCACAAAATTGCTGTGTCGAACTTATCATACAGGAACACACATGTGGCGAAGGGAATGGAGTTTATTATTTAACACACATTATTTCTGTGCAAAGTGATAAAAATGCATTTCGGGCTATTCGCCCCTCTTCAGTCCTTTATTTGTACAAATATAAATTCTAAAACAAGGACTAAAGAGGGACAAATAGCCCAAAATGCACTTCCATCATTTTGTACAGAAATAAGGTGTGTTAAATAATAAAGTCTGTTCTCTTCGCCATATTTTTTCTTATTTTTAATGAGTTCACTATATTATTTTAAAACTTTTTCAGAGATTTCTCACAAAATAAACCTATTTTTATATATTTATAAGTTAATTTTTCATCTAATATATCAATTCCAAGTTTTAGCAATAAAATATTTTCTATGTTTGCCTTCGAAAATTTATTACATTTATTCCTAATGGAATTTTAAAAGTAGAGATCTGAAAATATTTTAATCAGTCAGATTCATATCTGTAATATTATAAAATTAGTTTTGTAAAACTGTATAAATTTTTATATTTTAATATTAGGATTATTGAATTTTAAAATATTTTCAAGAGAAAATGAGAAATCGTTACAAGTAACTGAATAAATATAAATGTTTTGATAGCTTATTGAACTTTTAAATAAGTAATACCCATTTTCACATGCCACTTTATTTATTGATAGGTAATGCATTTCATAATATAAATCGATAATTTTATTAGATTTTAAAGTTCTTACTTCTAGTTTCTCCAATAAAATGTGTTCATGCGATGAATCTAATTTGTCTTCAGACATATAAAATGATTTCTCTCCAAGAGTATAACCGGCTTGTTTATTGATGATGTGAGTGCACTGATGACCTATAAAATAAAATTTGAACGAAATTAAATTATACTCCACCTGATTAAAAATTGTATATATTAATTTAATATAAAATAAACGAAGAATTGTAAAAATTATAAGTTTGTTTAACAAAATTTTATATTAAAAATTTATATTTAGATACTAAAATAAAGCATTTTAAGTACCATTTTATTTAATAAAACTTAAAAATTTATTATATTGAAAAATTTAAATAAAACTTTAATCTTATGACTTCAAAAAAACTAATACACCGAATTATAAAACAGTGACTATTAATAGTCTACATTGACGCTATAATTTATTATAAAGATTTAAATAATTTGTGATAAAGCTTATTATAAAGATAAAAAATTAATTTTAAATTCTTTATAATAAATTTTTATAATATTTTTTATACATTATGTTAATTATCAGCCTATTTATCATTCGTTTTCTCTATATTATTTATAATGCATATAACTAAAAGGATATATGATTCGTTTCACATCATAACTTATAAAATTCTAAAACTGTAGGAAAGATTGCCATTATAAAATTGTCATTCCGCATAATAGTTTACATTGTTTAAATATTTTAAATATGAATTAGTAAAGCAAATTATTCACTTTCTAAATGAAACGAAACTTATTAACTTAACTAAACAATATAAACTTTAATATTACTTATTTTGTTCAAACAAAACATTTTAAATTATTATTATTTTATTCATTTTAATTATATATAAACAGATTAGACATTAAATTGAACAGACTGGTCATTAAGCAACGAAATAATTAACATAATTTATTTTATCATTTTAAATATAACACTTTAAATATATCTTGAATTATTTGTTTAATAAGTATTTGTGGTAAGAAGGTTTAAAAAAAATTATAGAGTTTATATTTAGTTTATAAATAGGATAATTTTTTGAATATAAAACGTGTTAAATAAACTTCTCTTTAAACGCTAAAACTTTTACTAATAATTTGTATTGATTTATCTGAATTATATATAACATATAACTGAGTCATCAAGAAATACAGAAAAAGAGTAATACATGATGTGATAAGCAGAAAAAGTTGTACATAATAAGTGTTGTAATCAATGCATAGAATGCAATACTTTAAACAATTATTAGAAAGCGAAATTTTACGCTGCATTTTAATGAATTAATATTTAGGAATTTCTAAATCTGTAAATGAAAGATATTTGTTACAAAGTCATTTCCTCTACATAAATAGAATCTAATGAAGAATTTATGAAACATCAAAATAAAATCATTCTAAAAATTATGCCACTTTTCCATAACTGGTTTTAAAACTTTGAATTATTTTATGCATTCTACAAGCCTGTTCTCTCTCTTCTTATTAGATAGATTTATGTCTTTGTCTATTTATTATTAATTAATATACAAGTCTGGTTCACAAATGTCTTTGTATTTCACATTGCATCTATAAATTTAGTTATGAAATTAAAAAACAAATTATTAACTTTTAAATTTTTGCACATATATAAATATTTGTATGTAAATATTCTTTCCAGCAATGTCCTGTCAAATTAGTTATAACGTATAGAATCCATAATCCTATTTTATGGTTTAATATGCACAATATTATTCTGTTCAAGTAACTTATGTTTACAGAAGTTACTTAAACATTCCATCAAATATATCTTATGTACAGTAAATTAATATAAAACTGCCAAGAAGAAACTTGAGTAATTCTTGTAACGTAATTCTTTATTATTTAATCTTTAATATTTAAATAAATTTTTCTTATGTTTGATAAAGTTTTAAAAAATTAAAAATTTAATCTACTATCTATAATTTAATAAAAATCTAAATATAAAAATAAGATTTCTGAAAATATAGTTTTTCTTTGTTGTTGTAAGATCAAAATCGTCAGAAAAGTTATAAAATTGTTTCAGGTTTTAGAAAACAACTATTTGTATTCATCAATTTTAAACAATGAAATTCACTTTATGTCAAAATTTACATAAAATTTAAAATCGAATTTGACGATGGATAGAAAAGATAAAATTATCTACAATGTAATTGCTGTTGTCCGAACCAGATGTTAAAGTGACGACGCGACTCACACTTACCTCCAATCGATCTTGTACAGCACTTCCCTCTATGAATCAAGCAGATCACCACAATCAAATTTACCATTACTAAGGCAGTGCCAACAGCAGCAAAACATATCCACCACCATCCTGATGTTGCTGTTGTTTTTTTATCTTTTTTAACACGAACCGCAACGGTTGAATCCATCACGGGTATGTCTTTAATCGAAAAAATAATGTACAAATACAATATTTATTACAATAAAAATTTGTCTGAACATTCTCACAATAAGTATAAGCAGTCTAGCTAGAGTGTATACCGCCCGGGGCAAGATATGCATTTCATGCCCTTGATCCTCTACATAAAATGAAAAAAATTTGTCTTGAAATACAATACCAATTAGGGTGCTATACCTTGCTCTGTCAATCAATATTCAATTCGCGCCGTGTAATATAAGTAAAAATAAAAAATATTTAAAAAATAATACGTCTGAATATTTTCTATATACATTTATGAAAATTTGCCGCATTAGGCAAATGCTCAGTTTGCCCATATGGTAGCGCCGGCCCCGTATATAGCTTATAATTATTATGATAAAACAATACAATAATAATACAAACATGTTTGAATGTTGACATACAGTATGATGTTACCTTTATAGTTTAGTGTTGTTATTAAGAATTTTTTGTAATCTTGTCAATTTTTTGAATCTTTTTAATTTAATAAATTGTAAAATACTATTGTTGTTCCTCACAATTTTTTGTAGATACTTGTAGACACAGTAAACAATATCATTTTATAGGGTTTTACAAAATCTAAATGGATATCGCGTGTTACTTGAAAAAATTATTTAATTTAATTAATAATTAAAGTTTAAATACATGTTCAATGAAGCAAGATAACTCTATGATAATGAATGTGTACTTTCAGTTTATTAATTGTCAAATATTTTTCGCTATAAAAATTCTTATTCGGAAGAATTATTATAATTTTTACTTGTAAAACAGACTTAAAATATTTGTTGTTTGTTACGATGTCCTATAATTTATAATGAGTACTAACCTGTAGTTGTAACTTTAACTTCAGAACTGAAATTGCTATGACCCAAATCATTCCATGCTGATACTGCAATAATGTACTCGATACCAGATTTCAAACTAGTAATTTTATGATGATGTTTCATTGCAATAGCATCTTGAAAGAAATATCTCTCTGTACCAGACTGCCTATATCTAATGCGAAATGATGGAATGGAACCACCATCAAATCCGGCTTTCCACATAATAAATATATAATTATTAGTAACATTTACAACTTGCAAATCCAAAGGTGTTTCCGGAGGACCTGTAAAGATGCAATATAAAGTTAGAATTCGATTATATATATACGTAAATAACAAGAATTGTAATAAAATAAAGACATCGCAAAATATTACTGGACTTTTATATTCTTAAATCGATTAGATTATTCAATTATTAAATTACTTGAATTGAAACAATAAATTTCCTACTAAATCAGAATATTTTTATTACGAAGCTAATTTAATCTTACCATATTTAACAATTTTTTTATTTAAACAATATCAACAAATGCTACATTTTTAAAAATATAAATCTAGCTGTGATTAACATATGTAAATGTTAAATTAATTTTTTAATAGAAATTACACAGAGGAGTTTATTTTTATGTTATAGAAAAATGCATATTTCCGAAGAAAAATATATCAGTTTTCTTCTTGAAAATTTAGCTGTAGAATAAAATAATTTTATAGTTTTCTATGCTTTCTATAATTATCCTTGCACTTTTCTGAAACAAATCATGTCATTATTTATCTTACGTTACACGAAAATATTTATAAACCTTATATTTTGTTAAAATAATCACAATGTATCCAGTTTTTTAATAACCTCTATAAAGACATAGAAAATAATTTAAATTTTTATAAATTATCATAAAATTTAAACCGGTTTATTCAAAAGTTTTATGCTAATTTAGATATATTTATACAAATATTTTATTTTAATACGTTAATAAATCTTTACTTACTCATTTAAATTAGAATTAATATTGCGGAACTTTACACTGGAATTTCTAGATAAAGTTTAATGCAAGGAATTTGTATAGAATTCTTGATTTATATAATTTTAAATAAATAATTTTGACTGGTATACTTTACTTTTTCAAAGGTTAGAAATGATTTAATATAGCTTTACAAAAATTACAGAAATATATGTATATTTATATTTTTATATTTATGTACACAAGAAAAAACTTTGTAAATCTATATTAATATATATATATATATATATATATACGGGTTCATATAATNTATATATATATATATATACCTTTAATACAGATTTACAAAGATAGCTTTTCTTTAATAAAGAAATACATACCTCTTTTTACCAATAAGAACTGGAAAACATCTTTTCCTAATGCATTAATAGCAATGCAGTCGTAAATACCGAAATCAGATTCTTCTAATTGCTTAACTAGTAAAGTACTTTCCCAAGTGGAGTTTTTAACAGAATTTCGTACTTCGTACTTAGGACTTCTTTCCAGTATTAGTTGTTTGTATGACCAACTAATTGATGTATTGGAATAAGAATCGGAAATGCATCTAAACTTGGCCGTATCTTTCAGATCGCTTGCTACTTTGGATTTCATCTGAGATCGTCGAATTACTGGCCTATCTGGTCGTAATACAGATTAAATAAATTTATTATTTATTTACCATAAACATGTTAGATCTAATTTTATTTCAATATAAAAACAATATGGTTCATGAACAATATAAATTTTTTAATAGGGTTGTTTTAATGGATCTTTATAAGAATTTAAGTAAAAGCTTCAAGTGTTGAGTGATATAGATCTACATATTCCAATTAAAACTCTAAACTACAATTGGCATTATACTGTACCTTTTTTATTTTAAAAATAATAATAGAAAAGCTTTTGAAATATTCTTTTATCTATTTATTTTTCTTTATTTATTCGTCAATCATTTGTTTATTTCCAAGAATATTACATTTTGTAAGAAACAAATGTTAAGTGCATCTTTTAATAATAAATGAGAGAAACCGTTCTGACTGAAATACATAAAATTATATACAATGCTATTTAAAAATAAGAATTTTTCCTATTTTTATAATACATCAATATATTTCATAATAAATACTTATTTAAAGCAAAGTTTTACGGTAGGTTTAATCGAGATATATTATACCATAAACTATAATTTATTCGTGATGCCGCAAAACAATAAACTATTAAAGATTTTTTTAATAACATATTACAAATGCAAAAATCTTTAATAGTTTAATCAAAACAATCAAAACCTTCGATTACTCTATATATTACAAAAATATCGGTCGTTTAATGTTACCAAAGTATTGTAAAATTAAATTAAATTAAATTCTATAGGATTGCTTTGCATTTTCATATAATTAATCAGTTATATTTAAATAAGAACTATTGCAATTTATAAAACAGAAATGTATCGATATGAATTAAACACATTATTCTTAACCCACTGAAGTCTTCTTCAGATACTTTCACTTTAAGAAACTTCAATTGTTGGATTCTTATACTGTTTCCTAACATCAACTTTTTATGTGGAAAGAAAACAAAAATAACGACATAGGGCTTCTCGAAGCTCCCATTCATACCATAAAGAAGACAGTTGCACAGGACAACCACCCACAATCACAAAGTTATCGGAACAACAGCAAGAATGACAAGAAGAATAGTCACAAACACCTTCGATCGACAGTGGCAACTTCATTCTCTCAACTTTCTCGAGAAGTTTGGTTTCGAGTTAATTCATATTATAAAGGAAATTTCGATATTTTAAACACGCTTTTATTATGATTTAATACAATAAACTTAAATAGAATTGTTATAGATTGTAGAATATTATGGTTATGAATTAATGAGAAAACAATTGTAAATCGCTTCAAACAAATTATTCTTAGTGAGTAATTAAGTTTTTTATTTCGAAGAATTGAAATAAATGTTACATAATATTTGTAACATTTATAGCTATAAATAGCAAAAAATATGAATTAGTTAATAATAATATAAATACTATATTAGTATTATATATTATATTAAATAATATATATTAGTATATTTATTTATTTTGTTTCAAATAACAATTTATTTCTTTTTCTTTACACTTTACACTTACTAGTGAATCTCTTAATGTTTGTTCTAAATAATATCCTGATATTGTATTTAGTATTATTTAATTTCGTTGTGAAGCTGATATTTTTCTTATTAGAGAATTTACGCCAGAATCATAATTTTAGATTTATTGTTAAAGACTAAATCATTATCATTAAAGTGCAATTGATAAAGAAAATAGAAATAAAATTATTGTAAATTTATTCCATATTATTTATTCATCTTTTACAATATGTTTTTATTCAAAAAAGCAAGCGTGTTGTCTCAANAAGTATACATTTATAGCTATCTCAATATACAAACCTTTCAAAATATCTCATTAACTACAAAGGATAAAATTTTTAAGATACTATTAAATTATGACAAAAATCCTCTCGTCTTCTTTATTCTCAAAATGGTAGTCATATCTAAAATGAAATCTTCAATTTTATATGTTATATTAATTTTATAAAATTCGATCATACACATAAAACTTTGAAAATAGAAATAAAATTATTGTAAATTTATTCCATATTATTTATTCATCTTTTACAATATGTTTTTATTCAAAAAAGCAAGCGTGTTGTCTCAAAATTGCCCATGAATTTTAGTATTGAAATTTTTAAATTACTTTTTGCTTTTCGTCAGGTTTACTTTAATGAAAACTGGTGGGACAAGGAGGAAAAGAATTCCACTAACTTTCCTATATACCAGGTGTCGTTGTCGTTGCTTTCAGACTTTAAAGAGTTTTTAAAAGCAAAAGCCACACTATTATACATTTTCGAAAAATTAAAGGTATAACACCTAAATGAAAAAAAGCCGACAGAAGAGGGGCAAAGACCCGAAATGCGTCACGGAAAGTGATAAAAGAGAATTAAACATTTATATTACACTTCATTGTGAGAAACAATCAAATAAGAAGATTGACACGGTTTCACGTAAAAAATATTTTTATTCGTCATCTAAAAAATTTTTATGATAATAAACAATATGAAAATGTTGCTGCTACTTCTGATCAACATCAACAAAACTGCTGAGATGACGACGTTACTTTATAAAGCGAAAACACCATCGTTTAACTAAAATTAATATTAACGCGTAATACAGTACTTTTAATTGTGATTGTTAATTAATTATTAATCGGAAAAAAATTATCGATTGCTTTAATAAACATATTTCTCATTGAAACGAAAAAGATTATTATACTTTTGCTAACTTCTGAAACGTCACTCCATGTTTTGCATTAGTCGTTTGTTTCGTATAGCATGGATTCGCATACCACGGCACTTTTTCGGAAAGTAACTACCATCTTATACCATATTATAAAAGGAATACCTATAGTTATTTTTGCACAGAATTGAATATTTTTGGCCTTATTCGAAACAGCAATTCGGAAATATCTGTTTTATTTATTAGAATTATTCATGATTTTCTTATAAAGGTAAAGAAATTCACAAAAAAAATTACTTTGTTGTAATTTACATTATTTTCCCACTATATACTATATTATAAACTAATGTTTATTTATTTTTAAAAATTAATAGAAATATTTACATTTATTTAAATTTCTATCAAAGAAATTCAGTCCCATTCTCGCTTCATTTTTTAAAATATATATTAATACAGTAATTAGTTATTGTGCTGTGTTTTCTAGTTTTACCTTGCACTGCTTATTGTTTTTGTAAGAGTTAAGATAAGTTTTTTGGATGATATATATTTTATTTTAACCATTTCTGTTTATAAAAAACTTCATATACTTTTTTATAATTAAAGTAAATACAGTCGACGACCCTATAACGCGGTAGATACGTTCCGCTTTATAAGAATTTCGCGTTGTAAGAATTCTCAAATACACGAGCCAATCACAGCCCGGCACGTGTGCAGTTTACGGACTACGGCTGTTTGAAAGGGTTTCTTCCATAAAATTAATCGATTCTAGAGTAATTTAACTCAACATTTCCAAAATACGTATAATTTTTTGGGAATAATCTGTATAAACTATGCTATAAACAAAAAACTGTAGTGTTACTTACCGAGTGTGCACAGTTCGACCACGCCATTGCTTAAGCTTGTTTTCGTCGCGGAGCAGCGCACCAAACGTCGGGTGCGTTTTCTGATAAGTTATTTTTCTGCGAAAAATTCGTTAAACTTTGAAGACATCGTTAATACAAATAATTTTTATGACCGTTGAATAAGAAATGTTTTTTTCTTCACAAGAAATGTATAAAATTACTGTACTGTTTTAGACTTACAGTACCTAATTTAGGCCTATATACTGTACAGACGATAATAAACTGAACTTACCCGCCTAAACTCTCCGTAGTGTGTAAGTAGTTCGGCTGCTCGTCCACTATTGGCCCAGATTCGACCAATCCTGTCGCGACACGAGTCGGCGATGACGTTTTACCGCATTTTACGAGTCTCTTTTAGCGTCTTTATACGAATACGGCCGCGATATACGAATCCGCATTATATGAACCCGCGTTATAGGAGGGTCTACTGTATTATAATATAACAGCATTCCTAATATTTTAAAAACGAATAACAAATGTATGATTACTTTTTACTGAAGTAATGATATCTAATATAGAAAATATTCGTTTGCAATACTTTAATAAATTTAATAACACGCCTGTAGTTAATAAAGTACTCTGAGCTTTTTCACTATCAAATATTTCAACTTTCGTTTGAGAAACAAATTATATTCTTATCTTTAGACTTTCAACAACATTACCATTTAGAAATAGAATAAGAAAGTATACATTTATAGCTATCTCAATATACAAACCTTTCAAAATATCTCATTAACTACAAAGGATAAAATTTTTAAGATACTATTAAATTATGACAAAAATCCTCTCGTCTTCTTTATTCTCAAAATGGTAGTCATATCTAAAATGAAATCTTCAATTTTATATGTTATATTAATTTTATAAAATTCGATCATACACATAAAACTTTATGCGATATTTTGTTTCTTCTCAAATCTGAATGACGATCTCTCACAATTTAGAAAAATGTTATTAGTGAAATTTTCACTATCCATTCCAAAATAATATTTATTTATAATTTGTCTTCATCGAAAAAAGTGAGATAGACGGAAAATTATCATCTATCTAATCAAATTACCTAAANACAGAATTGTGTTCATTATCAAAATTGAATCAATTGATTTTGATTAAACTTTGCCATTTTCCATTAATTGCAATTATGAATCCAAAAATGTAATAAAAAATTGATGGTACATGACTTCGTTTTCAAGATACAGTGGGTCAAAGTGATAATGTTCATGTTCCGTGACAGTATTCAATGTGTTAATGAAATGTAGGGGGGGTAAAACAGAATTTCATATGCCTAACAGATAATGGATGTCGGGATAAAAATCGTCTGGCGCACGGTTTTCCCGCGCTTTTCCAATCGTTCAATGAACGACGGTTGTTGCCATAGGAACAGCAATCGGACCACTTTTGAAAACTCGACCACTGATTGGTTGAGAGACATCACACCATCGGCGGACGTCTTATAGAGCTGCTAAGTGCTGATTGGTGGAATCCAATTCTGCTTCAATTCTATAAAAGGGTTGAATTGTGGCGGGAAGTGGAGTTTGCCTGGAATATATCTATGGAACTCACGTTTGTCTAGTTCACCGTGGACTCACGTTTGGTCTTAGTTCGCCTAAGCTTGTCCCGAGGCTTGTCTCGTCTCGTTGGGCTGTAAAGGACTTTAGAGTTAGTTCGTTGCAAGGAGTCTTTTCGACGGACCTGTGTCGTGGATAAAAGTGTTGAACTTTGTTATGATTGATGTTTTATAAATGTTTGCTTTGTGAACCTATGTAACTGTACATACGTTTATTTTAATATATATATATATATATATATTAACACACTTTTACATCACTTCAATACATTTACAAATGGTATTACTGATTAAACATTACTTTTCATAATTTTAAAAGGATTGAAAGCACTTATGACTCACTAACTGTAATGCATTTATTCATACATACATCTGAAACACTATTTATTTACTTTGTAAATAGCATTTCATATTATTGATTAAATTCTACATTTGGTTATGTTTATCGGGTTTCTGTTTAAGGAGAATGGTGGGGGAATAAAACGCATTGTCAAAATTTTAGCCTTTTATCTTAAAACTAAGTGGATGAAATTCGAGTTGCCATTTGAGGACATGATACAAAGCGTTTAATTAAAATAATAATTTTTTATAATAACTTAGAAATAATTCGCGTTATTCAAACACATTTGTAAATGTTTATAACATTATAAAAGAAAAAGTATCATGAAAAGTGCAAGTTCCATTCTTTCATAACTTAAAATATAATTTGTAAATATAAAATTTTAACATAAATTTTAATAATTTATATATTTTGTATATACTTAATCAATAAATATTTTCTGTAGTAAACGCTTAAGTAAGTACTAACACAAGAATGAGAGTGATTTACTTACACATCACAGATAAGGAGGTTGTTTGTATCGATGCTTTTCCTATTCCGTTGTCGACAACACACGAGTATTCGCCACTCTGTGCTCTCGAAACGTTCGTTATCTTTATGTACGATCTTTTACCTTGTATTTTATATTGAATAAAAGGAACCCCGTCTTTCATCCAGCTAATTGCGTTTTCTGGTAAGGGATTTCCGTCAAAAGAACATTCCACATTAACGTTATCACCCTCTTTAGCCTGGAGTGGCTTAGAAATGTTCGTTACTGTAGCAGCATCTAATTCATATTTAAAAAATGACCTCAATTTAAATTTTATTTCATGAACACTTTCAACAAAACTAATTTAACTTATTTTTATAATAATGATCTTTTCACAAAAGATATTACGTAATATAATCCTTAATGTTGTAATTAAGAAATCCGATATTATATACTACCGTATTTTTTTTATAAATATTAATAAATAAGTTGTTTAATTATAATTCTGTTAAAGAAAAAAAATATATATATATAATTACAATTTATAAATTTTATTATCGATATATAAATATTCAATTTTTAATAAGTTTATTCAATTACTATTCCGTCTGAATATAAAATTTCAACTTCTGGCTCCTTTTTTAAAATGCACATCAAGCAGATAACTTAAGTCTACTTGATTTTCTTCCTTGTTTAACAATTAAAGCGCTCTTGATACATGAAACTGTAAACATAATTAATAAAAAGTTCATGGTATTATACTTTATTAGACATTTTATTCTAATTTATTTATTACAGCTCAATTATTTAAAACATTATTAATGCTAACATCCGCAACATAAAACGTTATTCGTATTAAGATTTTAGTTCGTATGTATGTATATTTTAGTTCATATGTTATATATCCTATGTATATGTTCCACTTTATTTTAGCATATCATATAAAAATCTGAAGTGACGCATTCTATGCACTTTTTAGCCTCGTGTCATCCTCGTCGTTCTAAACACTGATTGCACCGATTTTTCGCAGAATGCCTTCTCTCGATTCACTTCAGCGACTATATAGTAACTGGTCATATTTTATTTTTTAAGATGCCTCCGGGAAAATATACAAAACGGATAGGTTCAAAAAACGTAAAGCCCAAAGGCTTTCGCAGAGGTGGTCACGATTCGGTGTCATTTCAGGAAACCATTCTTTCTTCATACCCTAGGGACGATTTTATGTTTCATCCGATGCTAGACTATTGTAAAGAAAACTTTTCGAAATCTCGTACTGATTGCTATGAAAGTTAGCGAAGAGAAAAACTACTTGGCTCCTTTGTAGTTGCAACTGATGGAAATTTGTTTTTTGAAAAACTTAGTGTAGTTACTATAAATCCGGATATTTATTCAATACATGCATACATAAATTTTTTAAGCAGCGGTATATTAGCTGAAAATGGCAATTGTAATTTCATGTTTTAATAAATAAATTAAATAAATTAACTAAAAATTTTATAAAGTAGAATTTTATAAAAAGAAAATCATTTAATTCGAAAATATATAAAACCGTTAAATTAACTATTTTTTAATTAAATGTTAACATTTGTACTGTAATTTTTTTTTATAAATCATAGTCAGCTTTTAACCCAAATAGTTTATCAAAATATATTTGCTTTAAAGTTCTTTGTATTATAACATTTAAATAATTTGTAATATGCATTTATTACTATTAATGAATTACAAAAATAAACCGGTGAATTCTGTCATAAATAATAACATTTTCGTATCTGACACTTTCGTAAATATTGTGTTAATGGTAAAGTGAAAGTGATGATTAATAGAGTTTTGTAGTCATGATAATACCTCAATTTTATGTTATTGTTATACATTCAGGATTATAAAATTGTATTCTAACATCTGTTACGCCTTTCAAAATGATACGAATATCATTTTGAAAGGCGTAACAGATGTTAAAATACATTTTTATAGCCCAAAACTATTTCTAAACATATATATACTATATACTATTACATAATATATATGTAAGTTATATAATACCTGTATATACATTTATCGGTTAATAAAGCATTGACAGTTAAGTTTTATTTTATTATTGTTTTATAATTTCAAATTTTTTTTATTAATACAGTGTTAATTGATTCATTTTAATTGTAATTTATTTACTTTCCCTGAATATACCAACTAGTATTATTAAACGTTTATTTGACATTCTTTTTAAAACTGTGATTAAAAATCCTTTTAAATTTACTCTTATATTGTTGTAATCCTAGTACGAAAATGTAATAAACTTTTCTGTTTTAAAAATATTAGATTGAAATACGTATTAAAGTGCTCAATCAAAATATACCAATATATATCAATATTGTTTGGGAAACAGTTAGCAATCGATCATTGTAATGACCATCATGGGCATTCTGACATAAGTGAATGACATTAACAGTGGACATTATTTTGACATTTTGGTTTCCCAAAAGGGATATTCTATATTTTCGGAAAAAGTAATGATCGAGGTTAGAGAGAATTTATTTTTTGTTTCTGCTTTTTGTCGCAACTTTTTGACAAGTAGGAACTAGATTTTAATTTACATCGCAAAAGAAAAACAGAACTTACGAAACACATTAATAAACAAATAAGTAGATGATAAAAAAATGAAAATATAAGTCAATGGTGTCATATTGCACCTGACATGAGAATAAAATTGATGGAGGATCACGACGTATGAAAGCTTGTCTCCATATCTAACGTTCAATCAATACAGAAATCAAAAGCACACCTTTAAAAATAAATTTACATCGATTTTTTAAATTTAATTATGTTAGTTAGATAAAATTTTATTTTCATTTAGGAGAATTTCATTTTATTTGAAAAAATTTAATTTTATCGCATTTTTAAATTTAAGTAAACATGAATAATTTTGGGGATACATGTTTTATAATTAACAATCACGAATTCTTTAATTTTTACATATCATTCATTATCGCTCTTATGAATTATATTTTTATGTAACTTCATATTTAAAACCTTATAATAAATTTTGCAAATTTGAAGAGTTCTGTTGTTTAAAATATTATTTTAATTTTAACAGATTTAAAACATTATTTTGAATATTATATTTACGAATATAGCAAATAATTTATTGCAGAGAACATTTTTATTCGTTTATATCAGTAATTAATTAAATAGAAATAAATACAGGAAATCCACGGTTTTTATATTTTCGACGTTCAGACAATTCATTCTTTCGTTCCTAATATTTTTATGCTTCAAATTCGCTTTTTCAGCCGAAAAACAAAAACTTCGAGCTATTGTGTTGCTGTAACAGCAAAATAATTTGTGAAAATTAATGTTTATTATCTGTTTTCTGTTTAATTTATTGTTAAAACATACTGGATGATGTTTCATGTATTGTAACATATTCGCTGTAATTTCTATAAAGAACTAACACTTCCTAACTAAGTAAAACATTTTATAATGTTCCTTTTTAACACTCCGGGAATTGAACTCCCTTTATTACCTTCATTCTAATATTCCTATGATAACACCCATACAAACATGCTGTATATAATTATATAAATTTTTATATACTTATATACTTACAACGAACATTAAGAATAACAGTTGCGTTAGAAGATCCTTCCTCATTTCTGGCTTCACAAGTGTAAATTGATGAATCGTGTCTGGAAACATTATTAATAAGTAGCATTGATTCTAAGAAGGTTACTCGATACAAACTTGAATCATATTTCATCAGTCTATTTTCATTCAGTTTGATTGGAACGGTTGCACCCTCTTTATACCAGTTATATAAAATTATGTCGGGATTTCCATAAGCCGTTAATTTAATTTTTATTGATTCTCCTTCAATTAAATCAGTTTTTTGCACTATGTTCGTAAATCTTGGTTTATCTGAAAAGATAGATTTTTAAATAATGAAATCTATAAGTTATTCAATATATTCATTTTTTAATATTTAAGTATTTAAAATATTAATTTATATTAATAACAATTAGAATAATTTTGATTTTAATTTATGACAAAAAATTTTTTAAAAAATTCAATAATCGATTTGAACAAGGGAATAAATTGTGATAATTTTATACAGTATATTAATTATTAAATATTTCTGGTATTTTTATCGTTTCATTCTTTATCATCCCCTCCATCACTACGAACAATTTCTGTTTAGCTGTTAGGACTTCTTTTATTATTTCTATATTTTGTACATTAAGAAAACTTACTAGTAATAAATAATGTAAATTAAAACATTATTTAAAATCAGATATGATATTCTAGCATTTAATTTTTCTTGATAATTTTTCGAGTTACACCTAAGTTTAATTGTATATTTAAAAAAAAAAAAAAAAAAAAACAGAAATATTTCTATTTATGTACAGTATTACGAAACGTATTACATTATTTATCCATTTATTAGTAAACAGAATTTAAGCCATTTTATTATTGTAACTTGACAGTCACAATAATAAAATGGGAAAATCCAACGGTAATTTCGAAACGGAATATACAGTTAAAACAAACGTTTTCGTCTGTTAACAGGCGTTCCAAACTATTGGAAATTTCCATAAACGTTTAAAGTCTTCAAGTTGTTTGCATATCATATAAACAATTTAATTTATATTAAAATCATTCTAATATTACTAATATAAGAATGTTTCATTTTGAAACATGTAAAAACATTAAAATTTATGTATTGTATTAATATATATACTTATTTTTAAAAATATTATTAACAAATTATTGCAATATTGTCACGCATTACTTACATAGTCTTTACAGTCTATACAGTATTAACATTTGACATTATAAAAATATCAAACAATATAAATAATAAGAATCTGTGTTTCGGAAATAATATTTTGTAAAAGTAAAAGGAGACTATTTCCGTGTATGCATCAAATGAATAAAAAATAATAACCTGTTCTGAATTTCCAAATTTCGACCAAAATTTAGATATGAAGCAAAAAGTGAAAGAAGAAGGGAAAAAAACAAATTTTATTATAATGATATATATATTAAATATTTTCATTAAAAAATCTTTTCAGATTTGACACGCATAATTAAAAATATTTTTTGAACATGATGGAATAGTGATTTATTTCCTTTTTTTTTCATTATTTATTTCTATACATTTTAAATACGATTTAAATCTGCTGCTTAAGCCAGCCAAAACAAACAATTTATCTGAAGGATTAAAATGAAACAGTTTTACTATTCTGCTCGTACACTGTTTTGCACAATATAAAAGTATTTCGCCTATACAGACAACAATAATGCTCTTACCAGCATACTGATGTACCGAATAGGAGTGAATTTGCTTGTTATTTGAATTAATTCTTCTGGGTCGAATGTTGATATCAGTTCTAACGTTTGCACTTTTGTAGTTTATTTATCATAGATACGCATTGTTCTGATTTGGATTCTTTTTCTTTTGCAGTAAAATTTTTCGTGGAGTTGAGTGCAAATGTTTTATTAAATGTATGAATGATTTTTAAGATATTTGAATGCAATATAAATGATATAAAGCAAGAATCTAATCACGCTCTATTGTGAATATTTGTCAATTAGTCTTTTTTTAGAAATTGATATATTGTTAAATATCTTTAAACATTTTCCTATTGTTTCTAGAAATTCTAGTTATAACAGTTTTAAATTTTTCTGTAATTAATTCGTGATTCTTCAGTAACTCATCTAAAATTGTCATGAATGATATCTCTAAAGATCTTCCTGTTCTTTGTTTACTATTAAAATTGTATTTGTTTTCAATAATGTATCCATTATGATACATTTTATAAAGTACATGTACATTTAATTGTCGATTTGTATAGATAATTGTTAAAGTTACTAAAATTTAATTATTCTGTTTTATTCATATAATCCAATTATTTAATTAACTATCTATTTATAATTGCTGACGATTTATGCAGCAAAACTTTTCAGATGAGAAAGAATCATATCAATTAAAACAAGATTTACTGATTATAAATATTATCCATGAGTGGAGATCCAAAATTTCTTCGAAAAGAGCTTAGCTAAATACAATAATATAAGGAATTACTTGCTTATACAACTGTTATCTCTTCGTCATAGAATATGCTTTTTGCTTTGAAGATTATAAGATTGAGAATTTTTCTTCATATGCCTGTTTCATGTTTCCTTGGCATAAAAATTTTTTATACTTGGCATACCACGTAAACTGATACAAAGTGATGTCAAAATTCAGATATTGATGAATTTCGAGAAGTAAGAACATGAAAATATGATTAATTGCAGCATAGAAATTAAAATATAATTGGCTGTTAGGTAAGAATTGAAATTGGCAATTAGCTGCATCATCATCATATAAATTTCGTAGCTTAAAGACTTCGTAGAGGAAAAAATGCAAATAATATTTTGCGAAAGTTCTTTTTTAATTACAGTTGGCAAATATAATGCAGAATACAGAATCGAACGTTAGAGATTTAAAAACTGGTTCTAAGATTCCATTTCACAATTTCCACATGTATCATATTTATGTTATAAAGTAATAAAGTCTATACAATCGCAAAATAAATAACACAAAAACTCTGCATCTTTGGGTTATTTCGCTAAATACAAGTATGGAATTTTATGTTATAAAGAAATTTATATAAAACACTTCTACATATATATTTGGTTTAATTGGAAGAAATTCGTTCATTTAATAAATGATCTGAAACGAAGCTTACATTTCAGAGTTTTATCAGATATAACGAAACAACTGGAATGTACCAGATACAGCTTCAAATGGCAGTTTCGGATGCTTTTATTAAAAATTTATTTTGATCATGAACACGAAGAAGATTACAATATTAGAAAATATGAATGGAAATAGTGTAAATAGTATAATTTTAAATGTTTTAATGCCTTTTTTTATAGAATTTAAAATACATCAAGCTATACAAATTGTTTAACAATTTAAAAATTAAAGAAGGCATGTGTTCGGTGTGTTTTCAATAAATATCTGTAAACGAATCTAAAAGTAAATTGAAATTCCCATGATAATTTTAGAACCTAAAATCGTCTTGAAAATTTAATTTACTTCTCAAATCGTTATTTTCTGTTTTTAGAAATGTAGAGAGGCGAGAGAAGAGAATTAGATATTCTCAAACAAAATTTTGAAGAAATTGAGAGAACTTCAGATATTATAATTAAGTAAATATTTTCGTCCATTTTCAGAAATAACGATTCGATTATTGATAATATTTTTTTCTTCTGTTTTCAATTCTTTAATATTAAAATGCACTTAAGTAATTTGTTGCATTATTTATCTGCTATTTTCATGATGCTATTCACTTTTTATATTTGCATATCTGCAATGGTTGTTAATTGAGACTTTCTAATAATTTTTACTAATTACTAATACAGATTTTAATAATTAAAATGTAAATTATAATTGTAAATACTTTTATATTAATATATATTATAAATATATACAGATTACAATTTATTTATTTATATTTTGTGCAATCATTTATATTCATTTATAATATATCTATTGTTAATTATATTAACTTTTTATATTGTAAAGTAAAATTTAATTCGCATATATTTATTTTTTATAATTTTATCTGTGTTTACAATACCTATTTATCTGAAATTATAAATTTCATTAAAAAACTTGTTTTCATTATATCCAACATACTTCCTTCTTTAATGTTACTACAGTATTTGCGATAAACAGATTGATGAAGGAAGGAAGGAAAAGAGGAAGAACCAGGAGAAATTGATTTCAGGATATCAAAGACAGGAGAAGAGATAAAAGTTGTATACAACTAAAAGGAACTCTCAGTAGGAAGTTGAATGGAGTCCAAGATTGATAACTTCCGAAGCAGAGATTGGATGTTTTGATGAAAGAAACTTTGTATCTAATGCAAAATTTCATTTTAAGACATGAAAATTACATTCAATTGTATATATATTGTATGAATTTTGAAACATTTGGATTGCCTGTAAATAAGATTCTCGGTTATTTACATTTCTACTTTCACTTTAGTTTCATTTGAATTCAGATGCAGAGGACTTTGTTGATATCATTAGATTTTTTATAGGAAAATGTGAAAACATTTTACGAATTGTATCATTCTTGGAGAAACCTTCAGTAATTTATATTTTAATATCTTTAAGATGTATACTTATAATTCTTAATTTATATATATTTTTTAATAAAAAATTTAACTCTTATACGTGTAAGGATTCTTAAATATAATAATATATTCAACAGGCAGTAAAGTTTTTCTAATGTAACAATTCCATAGAAATAAATTTAAACATCAATCGTGAATTTTTATATCATTTAAATAAAATTGCTCAAAAGTAATTCAAATGTGGTCATTTTGTATGTTGAAAAACAATTTTGAATATGAACTATATACGAAGTTTGGAAAGAACATGTTTTTACTGTATAAAGTTAGTGAAAAACTGATTAAAATATATTTGAAAATCAAATAAGTTTTCAATAACAATTTAGACTTATGATGATTAACTAATTTTTGGGCCACACTGTATTTAATTTAATAAATGTAATATTTTAAATTACGAATTATTTTAAAAATTAAAATTTATATATTTTATAATTTATTATTATTATTATTTAATTTACATACTTACATAATACTCTCAGCACTGTATTTGCCTCAATGACATCAGGAAAAAAATCAGATTTCGCCTTACAACTGAAATGAACCCCATCGTCAGAATGTCTCGCCACAAATACAATGCCACTTTTCACGGATACTCCACCAAAACTAGCATTAAGAATTTCTGTGTAATATTCTTCTTCAATTTTATTATTTCGCAACCATGTTATACCTAATTTAGGATTGCTAGCGCCTGTCTGACAAATCAACGTCACCTGTAGGACAATACAATATAGAATTACAATTACAAATTCTATTTCGTTTAACTTCAATAATGCTTAATTTATATATTTCTACCTAAAAACAGTTATAAAACTGAAAAAAAATTGAAAATTTTTATGAGATCCTTTCATGTCAATTTGTCTATTAGATAAGTTTTATTATATGTAAAATAGCACCAGAATTTTCCA